ACTCTTTCCTGCTTATGCAGGGGGTCGGACTCGATGATCTATTGAGGTGCCTTCCAACCCTAACATCTATGAATCTATGAATCTATGAATGTGCATTAAGGGTGCACATCTACATGTGTGTGCCCTAAATGAACATTTAAAATGGTGAATTTAGGCTATTCACACCTAAATTTGATACCTGCAAATTCAGGTATCAAATTTAGCTGCGACTAGTGAATCAAACCTCCACTTGATTCAGGAGGTGCACAGTCCCACCAGAGGAGATGCCCTGCTGGACCTGGTCCTGGCCGCAGGCGACGACCTGGTAAGAGGCCTCCAGGTTCTTGACCACCTGGGCAATAGTGATCATCGCGTGCTGGAATTCACCATCCAGCGTAGAGTGTCAAGGGCCCGCAGCAAGGTGGTAGCCCTAGACTTCAGGAGGGCCAACTTCAGTGAGATGAGGAGATTAGTGGGAGAGGAACTGGGGTCCTTGAGGGCAGAGGAACTCAGCGTCCAAGAGGAGTGGTCGTTCCTTAAGGAAACAATACTCGGGGGGGCTGTTAGGAAGGCCAAGGCGGAGATAGAGCTCGGATTAGCGTCCAGGATTAAGGATAACAAAAAGTCCTTTTTCAAATATATTGGGAGGATGAAGAAGGCGCCGGGTAATGTGGGGCCCCTGCAGGATATGCGGGGCAATCTGGTGGTTGCGTCAGAGGATAAAGCGGACCTCTTTAACCAATTCTTCACCTCCGTTTTCTTGTGCAGGGACCGGGACTTCCCTGCTGTGATAGAAGCCGGACGCGAGGGGATCGCCTTCAGACCTCAGGTTGGGGAGGACCGGGTTAGAGAGCTTCTGGAGGGGCTGGACGCGTTCAAGTCAGCGGGTCCGGATGCTCTCCACCCCAGGGTGCTGAGGGAGCTGGCTGGGGTTATTGCAGGGCCCCTGGCACGGCTCTACGAGCGATCGTGGTGCTTGGGCCAGGTGCCAGACGATTGGAAGGTAGCTAATGTGGTCCCCATCTTCAAAAAAGGGAAAAGGGAGGACCCGGGCAATTATAGGCCCGTCAGTCTTACCTCAATCCTGGGGAAGCTCTTTGAGAAGATCATCAAGGAGCACATTTGTGATGGGCCGGCATCCGAGATGATGCTCAGGGGCAATCAGCATGGATTTATTAGGGGGAGATCATGTCAGACCAACCTGATTGCCTTTTATGATCAGGTCACAAAGGCCATGGACGCAGGTGTCGCGGTGGATGTAGTCTTTCTGGACTTCAGCAAGGCCTTTGACACCGTCTCTCACCCCATCCTAATTAATAAACTAGGCGACTGTGGCATAGATGCCTACACGGTCAGATGGATTGCAGATTGGCTGAAGGGTCGCACTCAGAGGGTGGTGGTGGATGGATCATACTCGACTTGGGGGGAGGTGGGTAGTGGAGTCCCCCAGGGCTCGGTCCTGGGGCCTGCGCTGTTCAATTTCTTCATCAGCGATCTTGATGTTGGGGTGGAAAGCAACCTGTTTAAATTCGCTGATGACACCAAAATTTGGGGGGAGGTGAGCACGCTAGCAGGGAGAGAGAGATTGCAGAAGGATCTGGATAGGTTACAGGGGTGGGCAAACAGGAACAGGATGTGTTTCAATACGGACAAGTGCAGGGTGCTGCACTTGGGTAGTAGGAACCAGCAGCACACTTATACGATGGGGAACTCCCTACTTGAGAGCACGGAGGCGGAAAGGGATCTTGGTGTCATTATTGACTCCAAGATGAACATGGGCCGACAATGCGAGGTCATGGTTGGCAGGGCTAACCGGACCTTGTCGTGCATCCACAGGTGCATCTCGAGTAGAGCCAGGGAGGTGATCCTCCCCCTCTATGCGACGCTGGTCAGGCCGCAGCTGGAGTATTGTGTCCAGTTCTGTGCGCCCCATTTCAGGAGGGATGTGGACAACATGGAGAGGGTCCAGAGGAGGGCCACCCGCATGATCCGGGGACAACAGGGCAGACCCTACAGTGAGAGACTGCGGGACCTGAACCTATTCAGCCTCCACAAGAGAAGGCTGAGGGGGGACCTGGTGACCGTCTATAAACTCACTAGGGGGAACCAGAAGGGTTTGGGGGAGACGCTGTTTCCCCTAGCCCCTGCTGGCATAACAAGGAATAATGGGCACAAGTTGATGGAGAGGAGGTACAGATTGGACATCCGAAAAAACTACTTCACAGTTAGGGCGGCTAGGAGCTGGAACCAACTTCCAAGGGAGGTGGTGCTGGCCCCTACCCTGGGGATCTTTAAGAAGAGGCTGGATACCTACCTGGCTGGACTCATTTGAGTCCCGTTTTTTGTTTAGGGTTCTTTTGTTGTTCTCCCGCCCTGGCGGGGGGTCGGGCTAGAAGATCTATTAGGTCCCTTCCGACCCTAAAACTATGAAACTATGAAACTAGTTAAAGTGCATTAACACGTATACATGCATTAAAGCACGTAAATACTGTGTGTGTGGACTATCTTGGGACAAACTTTAGTCCCAAGACAGTCTACACATAGGGTTGATGTGCTTTAATGCCTGCACAAGTAAACACCTGCCTAAGCCTACTTAATATGCATAAAAACTAAAGTGCATTAAATTTAGGCACATTTAAATGAAAATGTAAACAGCTGCCCCCCACTACCACAGCTAAGTGGATTTGCAAGGGCTGCCTGTGTGCACCTGTCACCATGGTGCCATGCACAGTCATAAAACAGCACAGCATTCCATCAGACACACATAAAGATATCCACTTCTTCCCCTGTCCCCAGTTCAGTGGTAATGAACACTCACCTGACACTCATGATGCCTTTAATTTTCACTCGCTTTAAGCTCTTCCATCCTTTTTCTCTCTTTCCTTAGGGTCTCCAATAGGATCTGAATTTGCTCCTGATGGAAGGAAAATTCTTTGGCTGAGCTTTCCATCAGGGAGGGATTTTTTGTTATGGATTAAAAAACACAGAAACACATTCCTATTGCCCCTTCCCCAAGCGGGGCAGAAACTATCCCCTAGCTGTTCAGCCATTTAATTGAAAAATATTAATGAAAGGTGTAGAAGAGCCGTTGGAGGCTGGGACCTACCTTTTACTTACTGTCTTCCTCTTGGCCACATATCTTTCCCTCACGTTCGCTCATTGGGACAGCTTGAAGAGAGGCTTTAGAGGGCACTGGGCAATGCTCATCTTATGGCCATTAGGTCACTTTGTTGCAAAGAAGGAGAAACAGATTTAAACCCTCTTAGGTCATGGGAGACCTCAAACTTGTAGGCTCAGAAAAGTGAAATAAGATTAAGCCCTTTGTTCCACATGCAGCTAATTAAACTCAGTTTCTTCATCAAAGAGGTTTAATAACTGGAAGGACTGAAGGGGGAACACTTCTGCAGTTGTCAGGAATACAATTTCTGGCTAGGCAGTGAAAATTCCCATTTATGGGCGCATCCAGATGAGTGCGCACATGTCTCTGGCCCCATCTCAAACCGCTTTGAAGCGGGGCTAGAGGCATGTGCAGGAATGAAAAAATATCCAAGGGTCAAACAAAAACCCAGGGGAAAAAAACAGGTCAGTGCACAGTCCCAGACCGTGTCCGGGGCAGCAGGAGGTTCAGTCTTTCAGAGACGCTCTGGCAGAGTTCCAGACTGTCTCTAGGATTGGCCCTTTCCCCGCTCCTGAAGCACGCTGACTACCCGTGCTGGGCAAGCAGCGGTGCAAGCTGCAGGGACCTGGACCTGGACCCAGCTTTTGCCAGGTAAGCAGGGGGTTGGGGGACTTGAGGAGCGGGGAGGGGACCTTGGGAGGCTGGAGCCAGCAGGGGAATGAGCAGGGGGCTAGATACAACCCCAGAGGCATTCCCCTGCTGTCCTCTGCTCTCCCAAGGCTGGAGGCAGCAGGGGAATGTCTCTGTGGCTGTCTCCAGCCCCCTGCTTCTTCCCCTGCTTGTCTCCAGCCTCAGGGGAGAAAGGGAAGGAGCAGGGGGCTGGAGCCAGCAGGGGAATGTCTCCAGGGAAAGTCTCAGCCTCCTGCTCCCTCCCAAGGCTGGAGACAAGCAGGGGAAGGAGCAGGAGCCTGGAGACAAGCAGGAGGCTGGAGACAAGCCCCTGGACATAAGCTGGAGACTTCCCCTGCTCTCTCCAGCCTCCTGCTCATTCACTGCTACTGCCGGTGAGTGTTGGGGGGGACTGGGAGAGCAAGTGGGGAGCTGGGAGAATGAACAAAGGGTGGGGGGAATGAATGGGGGCAGAGAGAATGAGTGGGGAACAGGCGAATAAATGGGGAGCAGGGGGAATGAACAGGGGGCATGGGGAATGAATGGTGGATAGGGGGAATAAATGGGGAGCAGGGAAACGAATGGGGAGCTGGGGAAACCAACGGGGTGGGGGGAATGAGCCTCCTGTTCGTTCTCCTATTCCCTCCAGCCTCCTGATTGTTCTCCTGCTCATCTCCAGCCTCCAGAGGCTGGAGAAGTGCAGGGGAATGAGCAGGGGGCTGGAGACCGGAGTGGGGGCGGAGCTGTCACCCCTGCGGGAGGCCTGGGACCCTGCAGGCAGGGTAGTCCATGTGCTGTGGGGGGGGCTCTGCCCTGTGGGGGGCAGGGGACCATTGGCGATGCATAGGAGGTGCACATGCACTCCCTGAGCATAGCAGTGCACCCCCTCAAAAAAGGTGCTGCCAATACTGTCGGTGGTGCCTGTAGATGGTTGCCGCTTGCCATCCCCCACCACCAGTGCTGTCTGTGGGCAGTCAGTGATAGCCGCTGGCCATAGTGGTGTCTGTGGGTGCTCGCCTCTCACCACCCCTCCCCCTGCTGCCGACAGTGCCAGCGGCATCTGTGGGAGCTCCCCACTTACTACTGCCACCACGCTCCCACCACCGCCAGCGCCGCCATGCCCTGCCAGCCGCTGGGGGCATACGGCATTCATGCAGCGGACCCACCCTTCCTAAGCAGCCCCCACACCCACAGTCCCCCGACACCTACCCACACAATGACTCACATTCCCCACATCCCTCCACATCCTGCAAACCCCACATCCCCACATCAAACACCCACCATGTGATAAGGAAACCCAAAGCAAACATTAAAACATATAGCTATTTAGGATTTATTTTATTATGATGCTAAAGACGCTGATAGGCTTCCAAACTTATTTAACATTGTAAATATAACAATTGCCCATCTGATCAGTCCCCCTTTCTCTCTCTCTTTTGTTCTAACTGTGGAAGAATGTGGATTTTGGGCTATTTTAGAAAGTTAATTTGGGATGCTGCCTCAGCAGTCTAGCTGACACAAGGGGCTATTGTCCCCAGATACCAATTGCCTGGGCCCCAGAAGCTCCTGAAGTCAAGTAACCCAGAGCTTCCGGCCAGGGCAGGTTTTTGTACTGCTGGAGCCAGAACAGGTGCTGGCCCCGGGCTCTAGCTCCCTCTGGCTGCAAATCTGGGAGGAGCCAGGCAGGGTTATTTTGCCCCAAGTGGCACAATTTGCTCCACAACAAAGTGCATGTCCGAGCACATGCGCTGAGGCAAAAAGCCCCAGCTCAAATTTGCACCGCTTTTATGGACGCGCCCTAGGAGTAAATAGTCAGCCATCCATTACCTACAGCTGTTTCATGCCTACTTCCTTATATGAACAATTGTGTTTAACAGCTAATATAGTGTTATATATTTCAGTGAAAATTACTTTGAAGGACTGTCTACAAAATAATAGCCTTTTTATTATTAAGAAGGCCTTTGAAGAAGGATCTGGGAAGTAGAAAAAGAAAGAACCACTACAAATAACAACTAGGGAATAAGGGACCAACTTCAGCCTCATGTTCCATTTTTAGCACATTTTAGAGTGCCCCCCTGCAGTGGAGTCATCACCAGGCCTTTCACCAATGTAGTACATGTTTTCCTGTGTAAACTCTCCTCAGTCCAACAAAAAAGGGCTTATAATACAAATGCTTTAATGCTATCATTACCCAAATATACCTATCTCCTTCCTAATTTTCTTGCATACATGTCTGTGGTCTCTTCCATGGCAATAATATTTTGGGTTGAGTAGTACTTAATGGGACACACCAAGTTAAAGGGAGATTTAAAACAAACACAGGTGCACAGTCTGAGAATAGCGAGGAATTCATTACCTTGTTCCCCCTGGCAGTTTCCTTTATGGCAGCCAGTGTGAGCTTGAGATTCTCAACAGATATCACACAGGAATTTTTTATCTATTCCACAAAGAAGTTTCAGAGTTTCCCCATGCTCTTCACATGCCTGTGCCCCTTCTGCTCCTTTGGCTACTTACACACTCAGCCACTTGTTTATTTTTCTAATATTCTCCTGCTATTTTTTCTCCCTGGATACAGGTGTCTGCTTACTGAAGGTAGAAGATGCTCCATCTGACCCCTTCCCCGCAGGCCCAGCAAGAAGTGTTCCTGCAGTTTAGAGCTCCAGCTTGGCAAAGGAAGTAGTCACCTTTGAGACTTTCTATAGTGAATTCTGGATGCATCTACACATGCATTAGATTCATAGATTCATAGATGTTAGGGTCGGAAGGGACCTCAATAGATCATCGAGTCCGACCCCCTGCATAAGCAGGA